GCCACATGGGCCCTTGCTGCACTGTGGACCAAAGGCATCTTTGTAGCAACAAGAAAGATGAGAACTTATAAATATTTTTTGTACATACATTCGTGCATGATTTTGTGATTTGATTGATTGTTTTACATAATTTCCATTTGCAGAATTTGTGTGCAAATTGTATGTTAAACCATCTTTCATTTATATAAATAATATACAGAAATTAAACTTTTGTCAAATGGTTTTATGAATTTTGCAACTGTTTTTTTTTTCTTAAAAAAAAACTATATTTGCTGAATTTCTGTGTAAGTAAAAGAAATTGTCAAACATCTATTAAACCATACTGAACAAATTTATGTATAAATCATCCGTAAAACTATTCTTGCGTAAATTGATTTTGTGATTTGACAGGTTTTTGTTTGTTTATTTGTTTGTGTGTGTGTGTGTGTGTGTGTGTGTGTGTGTGTTGTTCTTGTGATAGGAGATGACGCAGGGCTCTTGCAGCATTGAGGACACTCCTGCCAAAGGCATCGCCGTGGGAACGAGAAAGACAGAGTGAGCGCGTTTCTAGCGCAGTCAGCACTAAAGTCCCTCACTCCCTTGTTTCGCGGACGGGACGGAGAGTGTGTGCGTGAGCCATGCGTCTCTGAACTCTAGCGCCAGCATGCAGAACATTCCTGAGGAGAGGAGAGAGACCGGCAGCCCACGAGGACCCGCGTCCCGGGATGGTGAAGGACACGGGGACGGAGCGCAGGGGAAGTCGCAGACGGACGCGGAGCGGGAGACGCTGATGATGGAGCTCACGCGTATATTTGCTGAATTTCTGTGTAAGTAAAAGAAATTGTCAAACATCTATTAAACCATACTGAACAAATTTATGTATAAATCATCCGTAAAACTATTCTTGCGTAAATTGATTTTGTGATTTGACAGGTTTTTGTTTGTTTATTTGTTTAAACAGAAATAGCAGAATTCATGTGTAAATTATTTTTTTTTGTCTTGAACAGAAATTTGTTCAATTTATGTACAATGGTTTTGTGTAAAATTGTTTAATTGAATGCAACCATTAATTTTTCTGAAAAAAAATGGTTGTTAATCTAAAAAGGTTTTACATTGACGGACGCGGAGCGGGAGACGCTGATGATGGAGCTCACGCGTCTGGTGCAGAAGAGTGTGAGAGAGAGCAGCTGGTGGGAGAGGAGAGGAATAGACTGCAGCATCCTCACCGCAGCCTTCATCAGTTTACCGGCAGGTACACACACACTTTGACCACTTTTTCATTATAGACACAAAAAGACTGATTAGACACACTGGCTCTTTGGGAGAATCTCGAAACAAAATAACTCCTTTTTCGAATCCATTATGTAGTTTACGTGAAATTACCCACATTATCTATCTATCTATCTATCTATCTATCTATATAATATGCATTGAATTCATATGTATGGCAAGGCTAGGCTTTTTTTTTTCTTTTCAATTTCATTTACTTTTTTTCCAATCATATCTTGGGGGGGGGGGGGCTTTCATTTTAAAACTTTCAACTAGTTTTTTTTTTTTTTCAAATTTCAACTTTCAAAACTTTCAAATAGTCTTCATTCAGAAATTCACGAATAATGACAAAATAAATGTGAAGTAGAAAGACTGAAGTAGTATTTTCTTGCAAAAAAAAAATCCAATAATCTGTTTTATATACTGATATACTACTTTTTATTTATTTGATCTTTTTAATGATGTAAGCAACATAAACATTTTATAATAGTTTGTGGTGTGTGGGGAAATTACTATTAACAACTGAATACAAATTTGTGTCTTGCTATAGCCTGAAAATATTTGCATTTTGATAGATGCTTTTGATAGATTTTATAGAGTCCAGGGAACAATCTAAGTGTGTTTTTATGTGGTGAGTGTTTTCATTCCAACACATAATTGTGTACAAGTGTGTGTACAACGGCCTGGATGAGTGTATAAAGGTGTGTAATGTTATTAATGGAGAGTGTTTTGGATAATGTGGATTTAAAACAAATTGTTGATTTGTTTAGTCATGCAGTCTAGGGGTGTGACTGTGTGCCAGCCGGTTATTGGGTGAAACTTTGCTTTAACACTGACACAAAAACCAACAACTTCAGTTTTGTGCCAAATGTTCTTTGACTTTCAATCCAAACAAATCAGCTTCTTTATATAGTAAAGCTTTTAAAGCTTTCAGCCACTGGCTTAAAGGGATAGTTCACCCGAAAATGAAAATTCTATCATCATTTAGTCACTTGTTTCAAACCTTTATGAATTACTTTCTTCTGCTGAAAACAAAAGAATGAAGACCAGGCAGTTGAAACCAGAAACTGTTTGGTTACCAACATTCTTCAAAATATCTTTTTTTACCGTTCAATAGAAGAAAGAAACTCATACAGGTTTGGAACAAGTGAGTAAATGATGACAGGATTTTCATTTCTGAGTGAACTATCCCTTTAATATCCAAATTACCGAGGCACTCCTGTGGCGTGGTTGTGATGGCGACCAGTTCGATCTGGGTGCTTCCCTCCCATTGGGCAGATCCAGTTTCCTGCAGCACTCAAGCCACTGACTCGTCTTTCAGAGAGAAACCAATGATGGGGGTCAAGACTGCTACATTATTAGAAAAAGATCATTGAATGCTGTATTATACTAGCCAAAACAACAGGACATGGCATAATTTAATTATTAGCATCATATTTTTGAAATTTTGTAGCATTTTCTCCAGACTTTGGATGAAAAAATATTTAACAGAGCAAACGACACCAAATATATCTTAAAAAGGCATGATATTTTGTTTTAATATGTTTTCATATAAATATGTGATTATAGTACTATAGTTGCTTAAGTTTAAGCTTACTTTTTATAGTGTCCCATGAGAGAAATGAGTTTACTGTGTCACCAAACAATATCCGACATTACGAATAATACATAATAATGCCCAAAAATATTACAATAAATCAGATAATCACACTCTCAAACTTCCCCCGTTTGGAAGCATAATTCTCCAGACATTCCCATCAAAATACATAATTTAGTTTTGAAAAGATACCAAATGAAACGTGAATTCAAAGTTACTTGCATTTATTCATTTAGCAGACACCAAAATTCACTGTATCCAAATTCACTATAAAAAATATTCAATGAATGCAAAACTTTTCTTTTATTTTAAAAATATAAAATCTACCTTTAGGGGGCGTTTACGCGACACTGTTTTCAACTAAAAACGTTTTTAAAACTTTTTACGTGTTTCGTCTACACTTCAGTGGCATTTTGAGGGCCTAAAAATGGGTTTCAAAGTGCACGTTTTTGAAATCGACACCGTTATCATCTCCGTGTAAACTCTGAAAACATCAATTTGTGAAAAAGGTGACGTCATATTACGTGTTCGGTCTATAAAAATGTGTATTACTTTGTATTTCTTTACAAAGCGACATCACTATCAACTGGCCTGGCATGCATAATACAGTGTTTTTAGTCATTTTAACAGATCCGTGAACAGGGATCGTTTTGACAACGTTGTTGTCTGTACGCAAAAATGCAAAGGAAAAACTTTTCTGTTTTCATATAAATGTAGCCTTAATTTAAAAGTTTACTAGAGAAGAAAAAACTACTTCAGTCTTTCTACATCAAAATTTCAGTTTAATTCAATGTGTTACTTGATATTTATCTGTAATTAATTTTGAAATTTACTAGCAATCTCTGAGTAAAAATAGTTTCTACTTCAAAATTTTGTATAGTGTTTTCTCAACTCATTTCTAAACTTGTTAATAGTTACATAATGCAAGCCTTTTGTGTCATAGCTTTGCTTATGGAGCATAAATGTCATCTAGATGTCCCTGCTTTGTCGTGCTCCGCACCTCTGCACTGCTACAGTGATGCTGTTCTTGTGTCTGCAGGGTTCCTGTTGTTGGGTTCGTATATTACGTGTTCGGTCTATAAAAATGTGTATTACTTTGTATTTCTTTACAAAGCGACATCACTATCAACTGGCCTGGCATGCATAATACAGTGTTTTTAGTCATTTTAACAGATCCGTGAACAGGGATCGTTTTGACAACGTTGTTGTCTGTACGCAAAAATGCAAAGGAAAAACTTTTCTGTTTTCATATAAATGTAGCCTTAATTTAAAAGTTTACTAGAGAAGAAAAAACTACTTCAGTCTTTCTACATCAAAATTTCAGTTTAATTCAATGTGTTACTTGATATTTATCTGTAATTAATTTTGAAATTTACTAGCAATCTCTGAGTAAAAATAGTTTCTACTTCAAAATTTTGTATAGTGTTTTCTCAACTCATTTCTAAACTTGTTAATAGTTACATAATGCAAGCCTTTTGTGTCATAGCTTTGCTTATGGAGCATAAATGTCATCTAGATGTCCCTGCTTTGTCGTGCTCCGCACCTCTGCACTGCTACAGTGATGCTGTTCTTGTGTCTGCAGGGTTCCTGTTGTTGGGTTCGTCTCAGCCGCTGTATTTCCTGTCAGGTGTTCTGATAATGGGCGTGGCTCACGCTGTCATCACCGTTAAAGGGACACACCTGGCCAGTCACGGCGCGCTCAGCGAGTCTCCGGCCTGGGCCGACTTCTGGGCCGTCTTCTTCATCGAAGTGAGATTTGCTAGCGATGTGAAATTATTAAACATTGTGAATCTATTGGGAAATCTATAAGTAGTAAAATAATATATTACATGGAAAAGCACCAAAAGAACCATGGTTTTGCCATTTCTGGGTCTTGAGACTCCCACTGTACTTTCCGTTTTTACCTTAATTTCATTTTAGTTTCCATTTTTTCTTTAATTCCATGTGTTTTGGGTCATCAGGGGGTTTTGTACTGATGTTTAAAGCGCAGTGTGTTTCACATGCAGTTAATTCTCTGCAATATGAAAATGCAAAAGAATGGAAAGAATTTAGCTGATTAATTCTTCATGAATTAACTTCATGGATTAAGAGGATTTAGATTAATTTACAGTTTCCATCCTCTCAAGAATGCAAAAGTCATAATGTTGATCATATTCTATGGTAACAGTCTGTACACACATATACAGTGGGCCCCCAAAGAATTATTCAACTTTATAATTGTATAAGCAGTTTTTATTGCAAATTTTGTTAGCACAACAGTTTGAGTCAAATGTATTGGATTTTCTTAATATTTCTTAATTTCTCTTTAACGCTTTAACGACAGCAGCACTGGAGCTATGAATGAAAAAAGCATCTCGTAAAAAGCAAGAACATCTGACCTATATTTAATTTAAAATTGAAATTACATTGAATTATTTAATTTTCCATTAAATCATTTACATTATTAAATATTATAATTTATTTACTTTTTACTGTTTTTGCTATTTACTGTTTAAAATTTTAAATATTTACTATTTTAAATTATTTTAATGTAAATATTACATTCAAATATTTAATAATGGAATAGTTTAATTAGCTTAGTAAATGAAAATATTCAATAATTGAAACAATTTAATGTATTATTTGAATTAAATGGAATAATTTAATTAAATTGCAACTTTATACAAAGGTTAAACTCATTGATAAAGATATGCCAAAAAAAAAAAAATATATATATATATATATATACACATATATATATATATATATATATATATATATATATACAGTGTAT